GATCAATAAAAACTTATATTGCTGCTAAAGTATCCTCCGTAGAGGCAGCTTCAGAGCCCTCCGAAAGCCGGCAGCAAGAGATTTTATGTTTGATGCACTATCCCAAGTGGAACCATTCCATTTCTACTAATACGAATCACTAAGTTCAACAAGTTTCAAAGCTTTCTCCTGAACAAAGAAGACTATTTAAAACAAGAATTGTATTTTTCTTACATGTGCTTATTCACTCAACTGTTCACATATTGAATCAGTCAACAAATGGATTACATGCCTACTCCACGGCAGTTACTGTGCTGAAGATGAAGAAGCATTCTCAGAATAGGGGGCAAAATGCAGCCCTCAGTCCAGCTGGTCACTCCGAGGACGTGAGCCAGCCTGGGAGCCAAGGAAGAATCAGGAGAGACACTTAACACAAACTGGGGTTGGGGACAACTTCCAGATGAGGTGGCACTTTCATGATGTCTTTAAGTCGTTCTCTGATGAAGTAGGAGATAACCACGTTTAAGGAAGAGGTGGGGGTGGTGGGTCATTCTAGAAAGAGGGGATATCATCAGTAAAGCCATTATAAGAACAAGATTATTGTTGATCTGTTGGATTTTTTAAGTAATCAGAACTCAAATCTTTTATTTCTCAATTCACTTGACCCCAATCATCATCTTGTGATGGATTTCTTGTATTTAGGTAAAATATTTACCCTTTCTTTTTGTTTTTTTCCTCAACTTGTCAGGTTGAATTGAAACATGCATGCACATATGCATAAGCATATATATTTACACATAGATGTGTGAATAAATACATATATCATGGATGAAAATATGCATATTTGTTTTATATAAGCTTGTTACAGAGTAGGATGACAAAGGGGCTCAACTTAGAAAGTGTGAAGTTTTGTTGAGTACTCTAAACTTCTCTTACCTGAGTATTTTAAGATTTGCTTTTCAGATTTTTATAAATCAACTAAGGAAAAAAAACCACTTTTAGGATGAAGAATCCTAAACTCAAAATCTTACCACACTCAGTCTTTCTTCTTCTTCTGCTAAAACCCATATTGTTCTGTATTTTTCTTAAGTTGTGGCAACCAAAACTGCATAGCACACTTGATGCTGACATGTTCTCTTTTATATTTTATGTTTTACTTTAATGGCCCCATTTATGATATTTTGTGGTTTTCCTTGTTTTCAAAGGAAGCTCATTAAACTGGAAATCATAAAGAACCATCTGGGATGATTCTGTGGTCCTGTTCATGGGTGACTAATAACCAGCCTTTAATTTTACCTGTGTGGATTGAAGTTTTAAAATGCCCATATACATTAAAAATGTATTATTGTTGTTTTGTTTGTTTTAAAAAGCACCTTTATGTTGTCTCCTTTTGCATTTTTGAGGTAGAATTCACTTTCATGTCTTTATTTGGGGTATAGAGTGTTATTCCCACCCAGAAGTCTTTCAAGTTTTCCAGTAGACTTTAAGTGTTATGGCTAATACTACAAATACCAGAACAGTATACTGGCAGGTTACAGGGCTTTTCTGACAATACATTAGTTTATCCAATGTTTTAATTTTTAAGGTAGATAGAGTACAAGTACATAAGGAAAGTAATAACAGACATTCAAGAGAGTAAAATGCAGCATGCTTGGGTTTTAGGGGTAAGCACTGATATTGATTAAGTGTTTTTACCTCATACTCAAGATTTCAAATATGTTTTATTTATTTATTTATTTATTTTAAAAAAGATTTTATTTATTTATTTGTCAGAGAGAGAGACTGAGGGAGAGAGAGAGAGGGAGAGAGCACAGTCAGGGGGAGTGGCAGGCAGAGGGAGAAGCAGGGTACCCGCTGAGCAAGGAGCCTGATGAGGGATCATGACCTGAGCCGAAGGCAGACACTTAACTGACTGAGCCACCCAGATGTCCCTCAAATATGTTTAAAAGAGTTTTTAGTTTCTGATTTATTTTGACTATTAGAATATAATGATTTCATTTTTGAGCATGATTTATGTGTTTTCAGAGACTGAACAAAGTTTCTCTTTTGCATTTTAATTATCATTACCTGGAAAATGTGATTACAAACAAGAAACAAACAAAAAAAGCTTTATCATCTTATTTTTAGTCACATATTAATATTATAATAAAGAAATTCTCTTTTTTAACCTAATCTTTCCATTTTTATTTTACTTTCAAACTTTCTATGAAAGATCTACATGAAAGAACATGGAATTATGCAGGTTTTTTTCCTACATCATATCAAATACTCAGAAAATTGGTAATTATTACCCAAATATTTTGGAGGCAAAGACCAAATTTCAGATCTATTATCTAGATTAATGTATGGTAAAATGATACTTGACAGAAATTTTTATACTTATCCTTAAAAAAGATAAAAATAAGTGGATATCAAAGACCAATGAAAAACAGACATCACGGCTTTCCTCTATTTGCTCCATTTCAGTTTTTTTTTAAGATTTTATTTATTTATTTGAGAGAGAGAGAATGAGAGACAGAGAGCATGAGAGGGAGGAGGGTCAGAGGGAGAAGCAGACTCCCTGCCGAGCAGGGAGCCCGATGCGGGACTCGATCCTGTGACTCCAGGATCATGACCTGAGCCGAAGGCAGTCGCTTAACCAACTGAGCCACCCAGGCGCCCCATTTCAGTTGTTTTTAATGAGAATCTTTGATGGCAACCTTTAGTTGTTTGGACATTTCTGGCTTTGGGTGGTATCAGCACAGGGAAAAATAAAAAGCAATAATTGCTAGAACTAAAGAAATATTTTTGTTAATAGGATACTAAATTATAGATAATACTAAATTATAGATACTTTATAATTTTATTTTATTTATTATTTTTAAAGATTTTGTTTATTTATTTGACAGAGAGAGACACAGCGAGAGAGGGAACACAAGCAGAGGTAGTGGGAGAGGGAGAAGCAGACTTCCAGCCGAGCAGGGAGCCCGATGCGGGGCTCGATCCCAGGACCCTGGGATCATGACCCAAGCCGAAGGCAGACGCTCAACGACTGAGCCACCCAGGCACCCCGATACTTTATAATTTTAAATGTTTTTTCATGCATGGTCTCATTTTTTAAGTCCCACTTTTTTGGCATCAAATGGATTTAAGCACTCACCATTTTCTGGGGAAAGCGGCATTGGTTAATAATCCTTTAAAGAAGGGTAAAGGATAAAGTCCCCTTGAGAGGGAAATAGAAATTTGATAGTTTATTCCTTAAATTATCTTTTTAGTTTTACAAATGAATTACTACTCATGTTTTTTTCTAGCCTTTTCTTCCTTTTTATCATTCTCAGTTGATTCGTCTTACCCTTTTTACAGTATAATCTAAAAATGTACCTAGTTATAATAATATTTTGAATTATTGATAACAATGAGCTCTAAATGCAGGGACTGGTAGATGGACAGAAAATTCTAAAACATCTTAAATGAAATCATTACTGACATTACTTATCACTGTCTACCATAGTATATGGAGAGCATATTATCTATGAAAAAAGGCTTCACTTTTTCTTCTCTACAAAATGAATAAAAAATTTGCAAGTTGATGACTATCAAATTCCTCAAGGTACTGAATCATAAAAAAAGATCTCAGTAAAACAAAGTAATGAGGGAAGTTCATGGAAGATAGTTCAGAATATACTGGGAAAATGCACGTGTGAAACCTACTGGCAGGGGACTAAGGATTTCTGATACTCCGATGGTGATCAGGAGAGCCAGCTGCATGCTAACCGTGTCATACAATGTAGAAAGTAGCTGTCAAATGCCAATGAAGCTGCATGAGACATTTGCCAAGAGGCCAGGTGTTTCCGCTGGTAGATAAAATGTGTTCCACAGCTTGATACCTGTGTTTTATTAGTGGTACCTGAGGAGAGCAGCAACTTTAGTAACTAGTGGAAAGTCAGTTTGTTTTTCATTTCTCTGATTCACGTATGCACGTTAAAGCTTTTGAGTTACGCTAGAAAGTTCCAGCTAGTAGTACATGTATCAATTAGGGTCGTGTTTGCCTTTAGGTAAAATAATTATTTTCTGCATAGAGTAATATTAATTGCTCTACTAAAGGAAGTTTCAAAATTCATGTGAGTGAAATATAGCTTGTTTTTTTAGCAAGTATTCACTTGACCATTCTGAATATTCACATGGTTAAGCCTTTTTAAGCCAATGATGATTAATGATTATAGTGAAGCAATAAATGCAATTATTAAATTTATCATCAGCTTTTATTTATGGTGACTCTTGTGCCAGTTTTCAAATATTAATCTTGTGTTAAAGTTGAATATGTTCAATATCACGGATAGCTGCTAGAAACTGGTTAATGAAAGCCTTAATACTGTGATGTAGCAATCCCTACTTTTGCCCCAAATGTAATAGAAGGTGAATCTGTCAGCCTTAGATCCGGCCCAGGAGGATTGCTTTGTCAGAATTCCAGAATTCATCATTAAAGCATTGTTTAGCTTTAATACTATACTAGCACGATCCCCAGTATACCATTGTAATGAGGCTTCAGTTAGAATATGACTTTATTTCCTCTAAGCATCCTATTATTATTTAATAATATTAAGGGATAGCCATCCTTACGTTAGCCTGTGTTTGAAGAATACAATTACCTTTGACTTTTCTGTGCACTTAATTTTGAGAGTTTCCTTTTTTATTCTGGAAAAATGTCTGTAAATGTAATGTCATTAATTTATGTCACCCCTGGAAAAAAATTTTTATTACTTGTGGTTCTGTGAGGTCTTAAGTTTTCTTTAGAAAGTCAAGAATGGTCTGTGAAAATGGATTCTAGAAGTGAACTGATGTAGACAAATGTTTCTGTGTTTATGATTGAGGGAGCCAAATAAATATTGATGTAAATACAATTATATGAAAGCCAAAGTAGTATGTAGTTTGTAGAATATAAAATAATTTAAACAGGGACTTTTTAAGATGGATAGTGTGAAGGCAGATAATCTTTTAACCCACTGGTTGCTGATGTTGACTTCACGTTTTCTCTCCTTTAGGGTGTTGTTAGACCCACTGGGGGATATGCTGTGATGCTAAACTGGACAATGTCTTCTATCTATGGACTTAAACCTGGAGAGGTAATTGTGGCTTTAAATTCATGATACATAACATTTCCCTGGTGAACACTTACGTATTTTATTATCTTATTTTTTAGGTGTGGTGGGCAGCCTCTGACTTAGGCTGGGTTGTTGGCCATTCCTATATCTGTTATGGACCTCTTCTGCATGGGAACACGACAGTCCTATATGAGGTAATAAAATGAAATTAATACCACCTAAAGATAATTTTTTTTTACTGAAACTTTTAAAGAAGTAGTTTCTAAGTGCTAACAGAAAAATTTGGATTGGGGGCAGGAGACATTTTTATATATTCTTCCAGTTAAAAATATGATTTCAAAAGAGAAAGGAATAAAGAAAAATAATAGCCAGCTTTTTAAATTGTGCTGAACAAAGCCAGTAAAAATTATATTACGAAAAACGTATACTAATCAGCTTGATGTCTATCCCTAAAGGATTTCTAGAAAGTATTATACCAAAGTTATTGCAATAAAGGTTTTTTTTTTTTTAATAATCATTCCCTTTGAAGTAAACAAAATAAATCTCCACGCTGAATACCTATAATGAATTGTGCTATAGGTAACACAAGTGTAACAGAGCTGAAAGTGCCACTCTAAGTATTTATATTTAGAAGTATTAAGCTGCATTTAGAGCTGAAGAATATACTGTTCTTGTGCATTTACCATCAGCCTTTTTTTATTTTTTGAGTTTTTTTTTTTTTAAAGATTTATTTATTTTTCATAAGAGACAGAGAGAGAGGCAGAGGGAGAAGCAGGCTCCCCGCTGAGCAGAGAGCCCGATGCAGGACTCGATCCCAGGACCCTGGGATCATGACCTGAGCCGAAGGCAGACGCTTAACCATCTGAGCCACCCAGGCACCCTATTTTTTGAGTTTATTTGAAACATGATTTTAACACCATGAAAGGGGCTCAGTTGTTTGTCTTTATCCTGGAATGATGTGCTCAAGAAGAGTGTAGATGTTTTACAAGTATTTTTATGTAAAAGATTAAATATAATAACTACATTCTAAAACCTTTCATCTCTACTCTGCTTTCTTTCATACACTGTGTAAACATCCTTTTTTCTTTCTGATAACAAAACAAAGCTTTTTAGACCTTTGCCCACTTCTAGCTATCCCATCTTTATTTTCTTCTCCACTAAACTCCTTGAAAAAAGTACCAAATCCACACTGTGTGAATTTAATATTCTTCTAGTCACTCTGTATCCCACTCTGGTGCAATTTCTGTCCGCATCACTTCCTAGAATCTACCGCAGCAGAGGTCAACAGTGACTTCATAAGTGGCCAAGTCAAAAGGTCTTCAGTCTGATTTTCTTTTCACTCTCTTGGCGCATCAACCATGCTGTTTCCTGCAAGTAATTCTCTCTCCTCTTGAGCTCCATGTCCTTTTGCTGTTTTTCTGTCTGTTTCTTCTTCCTGGCATGACTTTTCCCATGACTTTTCCTGTGTCTTTCCTTACCAGGTTAATTCCTACTATACTTGAAGACTCTGCTTAGATGTTATCATCTTTTCAAAGTTTCCTCTTACAGCCTTTGGTTTTGTTTAGTGCCCTTTCCATGGTTCCACTGCCCCCTGAGCATATGTCTATCACTGATCACTGAGCTGAGCATACTGTTTTGATATTATCTGTTCATATCTAGTAGACCGTGAGACCCTCAAGAACAATGCATAGCATACACTAAACACTCAATGAATGCTCATGAAAGTAAATTGAGCTCTACGCCTCTGTTCTCCTATCTCTCAGACAGCTTGACCTCCTTTTTTCTCTTGGTTTCTCTTACTTTGGTCCTAAACATTGGGGCTTATACGGGTATTATTCCTAGCCTTCTTTTCTCATTCTGCTTATATTTTTGGGGTAATCTCCATGTAGTTAGATTTAGTAGTACTAGTTAAACCAAGGCTTCCAAGTACTCCTATCTCTGTATCAGATCTTCCTGATGAGCACCAACTTATTGTTAGCCCATCTTTGGATGCTCCATACATGGAGATGGTGAGTTCAGTTCGTGTCATCTTGAGCATAAGATGTGTATGCCTAAACACCACAGAAAAATCCATGCTGTCTCTCCCCGCCCCCCAACAGCAAAAGCTGAATTTAGACTTCACATTTATCTAGTTGTAAGGAGGAGCGGTAACCCTCCATCTTCCCATAGGGGTGTCAGAGAAGTTTGACTAGGGAGCCAAGACTTTTATCCCTGCCTAGTAGTAATGAGGACCCGTCAAACTTGCAGTGACAGTGAAGCCCATAGGGGTCTGGACTTATACGTCTCCCATCAGTAATGAGGTACCCCTCTCACTCCCTATTGGGGTCGTGTCAGAGAAGGCCATGCAGGGAGCAGTAACAGGACACTCTTACCTCCCCCAGCCAGGGAGTTATCAGTGGAAACCCACTGTTGGAAGTGGAACCCAACCAGTAGCAATGAGAAGCATTCTCCCAGTTGGGTATCAGTGGAGGCCAAATGAAGAATCTGGATAAAAAGTTTAATTCAAAAATTAAAAAAAATAAAAAGCCTTCAGAGAACTCTTGTCTCTTAAAAAACATAATTTAAACCCATTTGCCTAATACACGTGATTGATAGTCATCTGCCTTTTGCCTATATTTAAAGTCTTATCTCTGGTTCCTGGCCTCTGACTCAACTTTCCACTTAAAAATCCTGTAATATGGGCACTTACGTGAGCAGAACTGGAAGTGATTGAGTTGTTCCTGATAGTAAAATTCCACTTTTGTGCTGATCATGTTGCAGAGTGATCCTTTTTCTTAAGGGAGCAAGTTAAATATCATCTCCTCTCTGGTATTTCCTTTGCTTTCCTCAGGCCGATTGAGGTGTTCTCTGTGCTTCTGTTATACCGTCTAGATTCCTCTGAACTTGTAGATTCAGTGCTGTGATACTGGAAACTGAGGACAGGGGATGTTTGTCATTTCTGTGCCCCCCACCCTGTGCCTGGCACAGTGCCTTCCAGGTGGTAATTAATCAGGGGATTAATTGACTACTTGACCGTGCAGAATATAGGGAAAAAACTTGCTTGCTCTATTAATTAAAACAAAACTAAAATAAACTGAAAATGAGTTCTGACTTGTCACCAGGCCAGCAAGTGAAAAAAATATTTATTAACCTCTGCAAAATGATCATCCCATTTGTCCCCCAATTTTAGGTGTATTATCAAATTAATAATATTTTATTTTAGTCTGATTAGTGTTTTTTTTTTATTTAGGAAGCTGAAATCTCCCATTAAAAAATTAAAAATACATTCTTTTTATAGTGAATAGATAACAGATCTTTCATGAACTTCTCATAGGATTAACTTTTCTAAAGAGAAAATCATATACAGCTCAGTATGTTCAAAGTTTTATTTTCATTTTTAATGAATTACAACATTTCAAAGCTGTAAGGTAGATAGTGAATTGGTGAGTGTGATGATATTTTTACATAATGATGAATTTTGATTTAATAAAAATTGATGTTCTGAAGTACTAGTTCATTATGTGACCAAGTCATCTAGAGTTCATAAAACATATGTCTTATTGAATGTAAATGGTCATGATATTTTATGAATGAATAATGAATGAATCCTTTTTCTCAGCAAAGGTAATTTTTTTATATTCTGGAATTTAATACATACATAGGCTGAAAAAACTCAAAAATGGTTATAACTAAGTTGGAAAATCAGTTTAACTTCTAGACACCCACCTGAAACAATGTGTGTTTCAACATGAACGCATCAAGGGGAAAATACGATTTTCGTCTCTGCCATAGAGGACACATAGCTCTGCATTTGCAGGGTGAAAACATATTGGAAATCCTGGTTGTCTGCTTTGGCTTTAGCTTCTTGATGATTACCAAATTTGTAACACAATTCTATTTCTTTCATTAAAACAGACAGACAACAACCAAAAAATAATCCCACAAAAATTCTCAATTCCCTAACCCCCTTGCAGTTAGAACACTCTCTTCATCTTGGAAGGCTTGCCTAATTCTATGGTCCTCTCCCATTGGCATCTGTCACCATCATTCCATTATAACAGCTTTTGATAATTTCCCTGGCTATCTTTATTTTTCCAAACACTAATGGGCATTTTCAGTCCTAATTATTCTTGGCTTCTCAACCCTTGAAAGTTGTTGAATCCCTCTCTTCCCTTCTAAGGCACAGCCTGCTCCTGTTTTCCTGACGTTGTTCTAATGCTCATTCCTGCTATAGGAATTTGCCCATTTGTTGTCTGAAATATATTCCTCAGCTCAAGTGTGTCTTCCTCATGGAAGCCCTCCTTGACCTCTCTCACTAGGTCAAATCTTGTCCTCATGATCTCATAAGTGCCTTAGGTTTTTCCTCCCTGGCTTGTGTCCCAGATCCAGTTTCATGTTACTTTATAGGCCCCTTTGATTTGCTTATTTGCCCCTGTTTATTCTAAACTCTGAGAGGAAATAGATCATTTTAGTGTTTTCTCACCATCAATTCTCAGCTACTAGTCTTTTTTTAAAAAAAAAGTATAGGGGTGCCTGGGTGGCTCAGTTGGTTAGGCATCTGCCTTTGACTTGGGTCATGATCTCCAGGTCCTGGGATCAAGCCCCGCATCGGGCTACCTACTCAGCAGGGAGCCTGCTTCTCTCTCTCTCTCAAATAAATAACCAAAATCTTAAAAAAAAAAAAAAAATATATATATATATATATATATATATATATATATATATATATATATACATTAATACATATATTTCATATGTAGTCATTTATAACATAAGCATTATTTCTCTTGAATTTTGGTCCAATGCCAATTGAGAAATAAACAAAAACCTGGAATGAGTGTGTAATAGGTAATAGGTGTCCTTAGCTTTGCTCTTGACATGTGTTTGGTTCCCAAAAATATTTGTTAAATACATGCCTGGATGAAGATATCAGAAAAAATAAATAAATAACTTGATTTTGTAAGTAAAGACTTTTTTCTCATATGAAGGAATATGTAATTCTAGTTATCTTTACCAGAGAATTGCATGAACAACTTAAATAATAGGTTATTTTTTTTTAATAAGCAAAGATTTACTATTACTCATTGAACTGGACATATTTAAAGTATGCAATTCTAGAAGCCAGTTTAGACTGACCAGTTAAAATATGCAAACCAATTCTGAACAATTCAGTCCTCATTTTTGAGAGGAAGAAAATAAACAGTGCCTTTTCAGA